ATGGGTTCTTGTCGGAGAAAAAGGGAGAACGTTACCTCAGCGTTCGCTGCAGAGGCTTGGGCAGCGTTGCTTGCGATCGACTTTGCCAGGGATTTGGGTTTGTTGCAGGTAATGTTTGAAGGAGATGCTCAGTCGGTAATATTGAAGCTTGGATCGTCGGCCATCGATAGATCGGAGATCTGCCCGATTGTTTGGGAAGCACAGCAAAAAGCTCGACTGTTGGAGGCTCGTGAGTTCATCCTTGCTGCTGACTCCTCAGTGAGTCCGGAGGATATGTTTGGGTAGAAGAGGTCCCGTTGTCGGTGATGGCTCAGGTTGCTGCTGACAGAAGATATTTGGATCCACTTTAGTTCTCTTGGAGGTGATATGGTCCTTCATGTTAGACTTGCTTAGCTGTTTTCCTTTATTTGCATTTATTCCTTTGTTATTAAAATTTAAAAAAACATTTTTGTTATTAACATACAGATAATGTAACCGTCCCATTATATATTATTCAAGTAAATTATGTGGTGTGTGTGCATTATCAGAAATCCATGCATATCATCTTGTGCTAGTTAGATGGGACAAAGTTTTCTGAAATTTCAAGGTTCTCTCTCGGGAATGTCTCAGGAAAGGCGGTTAATATACAACATTACCGGATACATTAAAATGTATTTAATAAATTTGGTTTAGCGGTACCTATTATGTTGACAACTAATAATGTTTTAGGTAGAAAATATGAAAAACTATTAAAATATTTGGTAATCGGTAAACTTTGGTTATCGGTAAATATCTATCCTTTTTATAAAAGTGTCCATACTTTTAACATATCAAGTAAATTTTACCGGTTTTATCATAATGAATCTGGTTTTGTCATATTTTTACCTGTTATATTGTAAATTATCTATCCTTTTTATAAAAGTCCATACTTATTTCACTGTGAAAATATATTTATTATTATCTTTAGTTAATATTGTTAAATTTAAAATCTAAATAATATTTTAAAATATCAAAACAATCAAATAATTTTTTGTGTAAATGAAATTATTAAATTAATATTGTAGGTGGAAAACATGAAACACTATTAAAAAATTGAAACATAAATTACATAACTTTAAAAAAAGTATATATCATTTTTATAAAAGTGTCCATATTATAAAAGTAGGTCTAAGTGAAGAAATATTAAAAAATTGTGCTACCGGTTCGTGTCGATCCAAATTAAAAATGTGTCGATCCAAAACGATATAACAGGTAAAACTATGACAAAACCGGTATAGAAATTATAAAACCGGTCAAGCGCTACCGGATACATTTAAAGTGTCGGTACTTTAATATAAGGATCGACACTTCGTGAATTTAAAAGAGAAGCAATTTTAAATCCTATAAAGTGTCGATACTTTTAAAAAATGTATCGATCCAAACTATATACCAGGTAAAAATGATAAAACCGGTAACAAAATGATAAAACCGGTAAAACGTTACCGGATATTAAAAGTGTCGATACTTTATATAAGGATCGACACTTTGTGAATTTAAAAGAGAAGCAGTTATAGCGCCTATAATGTCGATACTTTAAAAAAATATATCGATCCACAACGATATAACAGGTAAAAATATGATAAAACCGGTATCAAAATGATAAACCGGTAAAATGATACCGGATATATTGAAAGTGTCGATACTTTCGTAAGTACGTGTAATAAATTATCGACACTTTCAAAGAAATAGGTAATTATCCTTTCGAAAGTATCGACACCTGACATAAAAGTATCGACACTTTTGTATTTGTATCGATTAAATAAATAACATATCCGATGAAAATATAAAGGCCATAGCTAAATATCCTCTGAAAAAAGATAGAACGGACGAGTTTTTGAAATCGAAGAGTAATTGTTGCTGCACTTCAGAAGGCGTTTCTAAAGCGAAGTTTGTTTGTTTGTTGCTGCAGTCGAATCGAAAGTATGTTGTCGAAACCCTAATTTTTTATTATTACAGTAATCGCGATAGGGTTTTTTATGTGTTGTTTGGGGTTTTGGAGTAAGGAAGCATTTGGGACCGATTGCATGTAGAAATAGATATTCAAGGAAAAATATAAATGTCGATACTTTTATTAAATTTTATAGGTAGAAAATGATATTATATGTTGTATAAATGTGCCGACACATTTTGGTGTGGCCATTCAAATTCTTTTGAAGAAAACCGTTTTACCACAAGAGTAGTTATCTATATTTGTATATTGAATAAAGTGTATGTAACAAAATAATTTGATTTGCGTAAACTGATATATGAAGGAAAAATGGAGTCAATGGGTTGGAAAATTGTTGGTGGAGCAGATGACTTTGAAATTGAGGCCGAGACTCGAAAGCAACCAAAGGGTGGATATATGTACTTCTAGTAAGTATCAATGTCTTTTTGTTATTATTGTTGAAATGGTAATTGGATTAAAGTATCGATAAACTTTAAATTGATTACAAATTTTAAATGTTAACAGTATGGCCGAATGCAAAAGGATGAAGGGAGATGGCACACAGAGCGGTTCGGTATGTAAAATGAAATTGACATTGAGTAGTATTAGTATTTAGTGTTAATGTATTGATTAAGAAACGTTTATGTTTAATATTAGGTGAAAAAAGATGTGAGGTTATCTTTTGAGTGAGTTTTAAGATATTAATTTAGTAATTATAGGCGTCTAATGATTTATTTTTTACGTTACGGTATATATTATTATTAAATTAAAAATTCTTAATATTATTTTATAAAATATCAAAACAATCAACTAATTTTTTGTGCAAATGAAATTATTAAATTAATATTGTAGGTGGAAAACATGAAACATACTTAAAAAAAATTGAAACATAAATTACATATCTTTAAAAAAAGTATCGATCCTTTTTATAAAAAGTAGGGACACTTTCAACATATTATAATAAAATAGGTAAATTTGCAATGCTATCAGTATAAATATACCGGTTTTATGCGCGAATAGGTCTATAACCTATATCGACACTTTTTAATATTGTGTCGGTACTTTATGTTCATATTGGAAGAAAAATGTGTCGATACGATTTAAAAAAGTGTCGACATTTACACATCGGAACCCATAATTATAATGTAATAGATAATTTTGTAATATAACCGGTATAAATATACCGGTTTTATGCGCGAATAGGTCTACAACCTATATCGACACTTTTTAATATTGTGTCGGTACTTTATGTCCATATTGGAAGAAAAATGTGTCGATACGATTTAAAAAAGTGTCGACATTTACACATCGGAACCCATAATTATAATGTAATAGATAATTTTGTAATATAACCGGTATAAATATACCGGTTTTATGCGCGAATAGGTCTACAACCTATATCGACACTTTTTAATATTGTGTCGGTACTTTATGTCCATATTGGAAGAAAAATGTGTCGATACGATTTAAAAAAGTATCGACATTTACACATCGGAACCCAGATTTATAATGTGAACAGAAGAGCTGACCAACCAATCTGTCAGATTCATCAACATTATGTACTTCATGGCATTCCTCGGTTGGCTTAACATTGTCTACATCAGTATTATCCATGGTAAAAATTTTGTTGTGCAAGTTCAGTGCTCCAGGAGTTGATGGAGATGTAAGCAAAGGTTCATTTTGAACATGTTTCAGTCGTGCTGCTTTCACTATGATGTGGCATTGGTAGTGGTAGTTAAAGGGTGGGTACAACATTAAATTCGCAGTACATATTTAGGTATGTACAATAACTACAAGTATATATTATCATTAAATTTAGGTATGTACAATAACTACATATTTAGGTATGTTTGTTAACTACATATTTAGGTATATACATCTTTTGAGTGAGTTTTAAGATATTAATTTAGTAATTATAGGAGTCTAATGATTTATTTTTTACGTTACGGTATATATTATTATTAAATTAAAAACAACAAACATATATATTACATATTTATTATTATCTTTGGTTAATGTTGTTAAATTTAAATTATAAATATTATTTTATAAAATATCAAAACAATCAAATAATTTTTTGTGTAAATGAAATTATTAAATTAATATTGTAGGTGGAAAACATGAAACACTGTTAAAAAAATTGAAACATAAATTACATAACTTTTAAAAAAAGTATCGATCATTTTTATAAAAAGTATGGACACTTTCAATATAATAGGTAAACATATGATGTAATAGGTAGCGCTTATATAATGTAATAGGTATCGTTTATATAATGTAATAGGTAGTGGTTATATTGTAAAGTGTCTATCCTTTTTATAAAAGTGTCCATACTTTTTTCACTGTGGAAAACATTAATTTAAGGTTATCTTTTGAGTGCGTTTTAAGATTTTAATTTAGTAATTATAGGCGTCTAATGATTTATTTTTTACGTTACGATATATATTATTATTAAATTAAAAATTCTAAACAATATTTTATAAAATATCAAATAATCAAATAATTTTTTGTGTAAATGAAATTATTAAATTAATATTGTAGGTGGAAAACATGAAACACTATTAAAAAAATTGAAACATAAATTACATAACTTTAAAATAAGTATCGATCATTTTTATAAAAAGTATGGACACTTTCAATATAATATAATGTAATAGGTAAATTTGTAATACTATCGGTATAAATATACCGGTTTACTTATAAAATAGGTAAATATAAGCACTACCTATTACATTATATAAGCGCTACCTAGTATGTTATTGTATTTTATAATATTTCCGGTTAAATAATATAACATAACCGATATAAATTTTAACCGATCACTTGTTTAATCACACACGTATATTAACCGGTTTTTAGGCACCGCACCGCAAAACTACCCTTCTCTCTCTTTTCTTACCACCAAAACAATGGTGGCGATGATATCCATGATGCCTAAAATACTGATGATTTCTATGACCTCTAAATCTCATAAATAACAGAGCTGAAGTGGCCACTATTTATTGTGGTATAGTCTCTCTCTCTCTCTCTCTCTCTCTCTCTCTCTCTTATTTTTTTCTCCTTTCTGGCTTGTAATCATGGCGCCAGGGATGAAAACCATTGCCTCTACCGTTGCATTGTTTGGGGTAATATCTCTCATATTTGGTGTTGTCGCTGAAAACAAAAAGGTTTCTTCCACGCTTACACTTAAAGTTTAAACCTTTTTCATTATGGAAATGTTGGTTTTGATTTCATTAAGGTGTTTTCTGTTTTTTTATTTGATTCTCTTACAGCCGCCACATGGAAATCCAGAAATTCTGATAGGGAGGGATAAACTAATTTGCAAGTATCCATCGGATCGGACCGTTGCTCTAGGCTTCTTGTCTATTGCATCACTGGGTGTTTCAGTTTTAGTGGGACATTACGCTGTCTTTTATCCTTACAATGGCAGATCTATTCCTCCTCATGTATTTTTCAGAAGCATCTCTTTCATGGTGTTCTTCCTCATCACCCTGTGAGTGTATATATATATCACTCAAGTTTGATTACCTAATAAATAAACTAGTTTTTTCCATACTCAAAATAATTAGAATTTAAAACTAATAACTAATATGGGTATTTGAATTCAACAATCAACTAATTACGAGGTGAGCAAACCTGCAGAGCACTATCAATATTGGCCGCGGGGATGTTATCGTGGGTAACGATCACTGAGCTCCATCATTTAACTAGGGTTTCAAATCGCGGTCAGATTTTCGATTATTTTAAATTTACGTGATTGCGGCTGTTACGAACGTTATTGCGATCTTCGCGGACACTATTCGGACACTATTACGGCCGTCGCGAGTAACTTGGACAGCGACGAAATCGCGGTCGCAAACCGTTTTTTAAAACCCTATTTAACTAAGAACGTTCATAAGGACTTGAAGTCGACATGTCCCACCGCCAAGACGGGTCTATTCGGCGGCGCGGCTTTCATGGCCCTCAATGCTTCGCTATTCTGGTTGATCTGTCTCATGCTTGTTGATGATGTCCGAAAAGATTACCTTGCAGAACAAGACGACAGCAAAGCTCAACTTTTCATCACCAACAAGCACAACAGAGATTGAGCTTGAGAGTGTTTGTCTTTCCCCTTCCCCACGAAAGAAAAACCCATTCGTTTTCTGGTTATTGGGATTCCAATCTGTTGTTACAGTGGAATGTCTATCTTTTGAGGCTAATAACTGGCTTTTCTGTTCAACTTTCAATCTTTTGAGGCTAATAACTAGCTTTTCTGTTAAACTTCTACGATTGGTTTGTTACTAATTACACTGGGAATTCTTGTTGTTTGCTCCAACTCTTTATATGTAATTGTACATATAATACATCATTAAAACAACACACCAAAACACACCTAGTTAAATTATTCTTATGAATTAAATATTAAAAGGGTAAATTACACGTTTAATACTTAAATTATCATTTTTATTTCGTTTTAATATCTAAACTTTAATTTTTTAAATCATTAACAACAATACTTATTGGTATGACATGCCAAATTTTTGTATTTTTAATTAGCACGACATCTTTTTCTTTATTCGTATTTTTAATAATTTTATTCAATTAATATGTCACCACCTATTGGATAAAAAAGATAAAATTCATTCTACCCCTATTAGATAAAAAGATAAAAAAAACCATTCTTGCTAATAGTGTGAACAAAACTTGGGTCCCTTACACAAGAAAGGAATCACCCTACCAATGAGCTCAGCTAGACATTTGGCTAATTTTACTATATTTTAAATTTAATTTATATAACGATATCACCACAAAATTAAAAATTTTATATGATTATAAGATTTAAATATGTGACACTTTAAATTAATGACTGAAAGCTTAACTACTCAACTATAATGTGATTTTTTTATTAGCGAACTTTATACTTACTTATATCATATTATATAAAAATACTAATTTTTCACTTTATTTAAAAGTAAAAAATAATTAAATAATGTGTATATTTTTATAAAAATAATATGAAATTATAAAAAAGTATATTTATAATATTATAAAAATATATTTAATTTTTAAAATCAAATTAATTAATTATTTAAAATAATATTACTTTAAGTTATTTATTTAATTTTATATAATTTGAAATTTAGGTTAAATTATACCTTTAGTATCTAACTATTATTTTGGTTCCGTATAATATTATTTAAAATTAAATATATAATTTAAAAATAATATTATTTCAAATAAATAGTTAGTATTGTTTCAATAAATAAATAATATGATTTTAAAAATTAAATAGATAATTTTATAATGTCATAAATATTTTTTTAAATAATTTAATATAAATATATATAAATAATTATTTAATATTTAAATAAAGTAAAATTATTCTTTAATACAATAATGATATAAGTTAGTATTTAGTTTGATATAATAAAAACATATTCACATTTTATTTGATTAACTAAACTTTTGAATATTAATGTAAAATGTCACATATTCAGAATTTATAATCATCGAAAAATATTTATTTTGTAGTGATATTATTATATAAGTTAAATACATAATATGATGAAATTAGTTTAAATGACTAGTTTTATTCAATGGTTGATTATCTTGCATTTCATGTAAGAGGCTTAGGTTTAATTTGCTAAGAGTAAGAATAATTTATTTTATTTTATCTTATCCACATAGTTGGTGACACTTATAATCATTTAATTGGTTGAATAAAATTAATTAAAAAAATATTGATAGAGAAATAAAAAGGTGATGTGGAAAATAAAAAAAAAATTGACATATCATGTCACATCAACCTTGTCACTAATGGTTTTGAAAAAAAATAAACTTTAAGTATAAAAACGAAATAAAAATGATAGCATAAATATTAAACGTATAATTTACTCTTTTAATATTTACTTAATAAAAATAAATTAATTAATAATGTGTCTCGGATTTAATGATAAGTTGTAATGTGCGGCTTGAGTTGCATGTACGACACGGAGAAAACTTAAAAATTGGCACACACGTATTCCTTTCTAGTTTCCAACAGTCTCCAAGGAACTTAGTTTTAGGGGTTAGGCAGAGGCTCAAATTGCTTTTGCAATTAGTATTTTAATGCTGCAAAGGATAATGCGAATTTTTGTAAATTTTAAATATTTATCATCCGATTTCGATTTTTTCTATCACAACCTTTCCTGTTTGCTTCACAATTTAGGAAATATATGGAACATCAAAGCTGGGTTGAAATGCAAAATTCCACTGCACCATCCAATGATGCTTTCTGTTGCAGTACAAGCCAATAATGAGATGGGACTCCATAGCTGCATAACAAGCTTGATGATGGCTAATTTAAAAAAAAAAAAAAAACCTTGATGATGGCCCTCAAAGTAAGTAGGTATTGACTCTCACTCTTTGCTTTTCTTCAACTATCTTTCAACGTATTTTCAGACATCTAAAGCATTAGTTGGGCCCGTGTCACCGAAAAATATTAATATATGTTATGACTCACTTATATAATATAAAATCTTTTAATTTTACACATATTTAAATCAATTAAAATAATTAAATGAGTAAAAAAAGATTGATTGAAATATTAACTCATTGTTTTTTTTAATAAATATATTATTATTTCTTATTTTTAATATTAAATTAGTAAGTTTGTCCCCTCAAGAAACGTGTACGATAAGTTGTTAAATCTAGTTGCCCAAAAAACTTGCATATTGCTTCAAAATTTAAAAACCACTTAAATATTAATAAAAAGCTTTAAAATTTGGAAACCACTTACAATTACAACAATAAAACCCTATTTTCTTATGTAATGGGTAAGGGGGAGGTAGTGTAGTAGGCTGCCCTCAACGCCAGGTTGAGAGCAACTTCCGTAGAACACCTCCGGCAGTCAAGGAAATTAAAAATAATGATAAAATGCAATGCATGTATAAATAAATAAATAAATACATAGTTGAACAGTCTTCATATGCAGTCTTCATATGCACGTCTGTAATGGGAAGTAATCCCTGCGTAATAATCTCTGCATATATACAGAAATGTAAGTCCCGGCTAAATTTAAACAGAGGAAACATGAAGGGAAGGAATACACAGTAGTCAGCGATAACAAGCTACTAGAAGGAATAAAGTCAAATGGGTTACCACCTAAACTAAGGCAACACTACTCCGCTACTCTAGTTCTGGGCCTTCATAGATTCCAATGATAGAAAAGTATAGAAGTAGAAGTCATGGAAACCACTTATATATTATTAAAAAAAGAATTATTGTGTATGCAGAAAATCTATATTAAAAGATTCACTCACCAAATTTAGGTGTGTCACGATTAAAAAAAGAAGCGGGTCAACAATAAAAAGGAATTAACTTTTATTTTTTAGTATTATTATTGTACCTCTAAATGAATAAAAATACATTTTCCATTGTCAATTATGATTTCAAGATACAAAAGAAATCTATGTTTTGCCCTCTTTGGTTGTTCATCTTATTGGAGTTGTTGATCTTATTTGAGTTGGGAACTCCTATCAAGTTATCACGTATTTCATTTCAGTTGAAAGTATTTTTTTAAAAATATTCCTCAATTCAATCTATATTTATTATTTTACTTCAAATATCTACATTTATTATGTGAGTTCATGAATTTTTATCTCTAAAAAACTTAGACACACACACACATATATATATGATCAACTTACACTATGTAAAACTCTTTTAAGATCATTGGATGAAAGAAATTAATGAATGAGATTAAAAATAAAAAAATAGATATATATATTTATCTGTAAAACTAAAAAGGTATATATATATATATTAAATTTCTCAAAATATCTTTATTATATAGCTATAAATATAAATTTAAAATTTATTTATTAAATTTCTATTTATGTGAATTTATTCAACACTTAAATTAATATATTTTTATGGTTATATGTTATAGTTTGTATGAAATCACAGACAAACAAAAAAATTAGATTCTTTCAGAAAAAAGATATCGTTAATATAAAAATTAGTATGCCATAAAAAAGTCCAAGGTTTGAGATTAGAGTTGTAGTCAATCTCCTTTTAGTCTTTGGTTGTTGAGATTAAAAACTTTAATCTTTCATTTATAGAACATGATCCTGGATTACATTAGTCAATATGGAAGTATCTAGTTTATCTACGAGATGATATTTTACGAGTGTAATTAATAGTAATTTTGTATAAAAAAATTTCTCTCGAATTATCAATTTCTCAAGAAAAACGTCATAGGAGTTTTCAATATTCTTGGTTTTTCAATTTTTTAAATTCACCAAAAAATTATTGAATTTTTGTCAATGTTTGATTGGATATACTCATATTAGACATGTCTTAACTCAACATTGGAATAAAAATAATGTATATTAAAAAATAAAAATTTCTTAACTCTCGTTAATTAAAGGTATAGTTTATAGGAAAAATCGGCATATTACCAACTGCATGCTCTTTTTTGTTTCGATCTTGTTAGTAACGACACTAATTTTGATGTTGGCCACCAATTATCAATGTTTATCTTTATCATTTTTTCTCATATCTCACTTTAGTGTATTTTATTTAGTTTTTATTCTATTTTTAGTAAAATTCTTTTTTCTACATTTTTTTTTTTTCCTATTTTGCGTCACACCCCAATTTATTGTTTAATTTAACTTATTAATTAATTGGAGTTTATTTGGGACTAATTTATAAGATTCTAAAGATTTCAGGATAATTCTTAAAATTTATGGAAATTCATGGATCAAGCCCCAAATTATCCCATCCCCTGTCTACAAAGGAAAAAATAGAAAATAAGTGAATGTTTGATTTGAACCCAGGTTCTAAGGAATGGTTTGTCATACTCCTACCAAATAAACTAGGTTACAATTTGTGATGTGATTAATAAAAAATATTTTATATTTGTTTTAGATTAGATTTCAAATCCCTAAATCTCTTTCCTATCAGAATCAAACCAGACCCGAAACTAATTCCCGAAGAATTTTCACCGTTCTTTCGTTGGCTACCTCCGATCTGCCGTGGCCATCACCGCCACCCCCACTACGTTCCTCGTCATTTCCCAATAAAACTTTGGCCTCCAAATCATCATCAACATCCATCGTTAATCGTAAATCAATTA